TATGCGACTTTGGTTTTACTCTAAATTATATGCGTTAGAAAGGAAAATAAGACTAATAAAAACCGGACGTCAGTAGCAGTGGAAGTGTTTGCATTTTTTTCTGTATTCGAACCCCTAAAGCGAAACACGGTGCCATTTCGCTGGTAAAACAAGAATTTCCTACTGACATGTTTACAAGGTTGTTCTTGTAAGGTATGGATCAATTTCGCATCGTGGTAGGACAAGGATACAGTCTCCAAGGTTGCATAGGAAATTTCTTTCATCGCCACTTGTGGAATTGGTCTGCCTAAAGCATTGCTGTTCTTAGGATTTGCCCACAGTAATTTTTCGTTGTGTCTTCTGTTTAAAGGCAGACTATGTGGTCGTGCGTTTGAAGGTGGAGATCGACCTTAAACATTTTATCGACCATTGGATTGCACTATTCAAAACTAAGCCGAAATTGAGTGAAATTGTATGAGCAAAAATCTCCGAAAACATTGCTTGTTTTTAAATTCAGCCTAATTTTTCTGACGGTTTTTGGACCAAGGGTTATTCTGCCTAGCCTTATCACTTTTCCCTTCCCTCTCTCTCCTGCCTACCCATCCAGCTGCTGACTGTTCGCCGCCGACTTGGACTCCTCTGCGGTCTGCCTGACTGCGACGAAAGCCCGCCTGCCGCGGCAGCCACGGTAACAACCCTGAGAGGCCTTTTCGCGCATCTGCGAACCACTTGCCTGCCCTTCCTGCGTATCGCTGCCTTCATCATGCAGGAGATTACAGCCATCGATGTACCCGACGTTGCCACGCTCTGCCAGCCTTCTGCCGGTACCTGTTGTTGTCGCTCCTCTTTGCACTCAAATATATGCATACATGCAGAGAGTTTTTTGGTTGTCTGATGTGTAACGTCATGTTAAGAAGCCGAGCATTTAGCAGAAATCGCATGCGGGACTCTGGGTAGCTCACGTTCGAGCCGTATCCCTCGCAGCTGAAATATGGCTATGTAAAATACACGAAGAATAAGCCTGTTTTTGGCGTCACATGAAAATGTTATATTTTTTCAATATTTTTATTTTTTCAACATATTTATTTTTTCAATGTTTGAAATGTAATCCAAGTTCTACGTTACCGATTAAGTATATGACCCGCAATGCTTGATGCGTGTTTTTCCTTTGAAAGGATTCTTCGGTCGTTTGGAAATTGTAACCGGGGGGTAAGAGTGGTTATCAGTGTGTCTACGCCCCCCTTCAGTCGCTGGAGCCATGAGCCGTGATTACATCTAGCATTATCCATCATCACACAGCGAACTCTAATTGCCAAATACTATATTATTTTATTATCTAAATCACACCTGAAGCCATTGGGCCCAAAAAGAAGGCAACTTACGAACAGGAATTTAGAATTCAAACATAATTATTGTCCGTCTTGTGAGCAAGTCTGTATTCAGTTCCAACAAATGGTGTCATGGTACCCGTCATTTAACTGACATCGCAACACATAGAAGACGTGTTTAGCCTTTGTACTGATGCCTCACGTTTCAACCTATCAAATCGCTGTTAAATAATAAGTTCTTTTTATCTGTTCTACGTGCACGTTTATAGAAAAATCGGTGGATGAGTTCATTCTCCTGCTGGCCTATTTGGGCCTGCCCCTGGGACCCGAGGACCTTCTCACCGTGCTGACGGCGGAATGCGCTCAAAGTGCCGACTTGGAAGAACCTTTCCCAATAGATTTACAGAAGAGAGATTCTTCGACTTCCCTCTGCTTGGCACGTCTCATTACCTCGTGGTGTCTTGCAGGCCGCTCCACCGATAGTCGGAAGCTCTATACCGACCTGCGTCAGCGTTTCCTTCCCCAGCTGACAGAGCCTCCAACCCTTTTGCCAAAACCGCAGATTCGCGTACCCCGTCTCATTAGCCTGCCCCGGGAGTACATTAGACTGTTAGCGCTGGCAAATGAATGGAAGTTAGTTCCATCGTCTTTATCCTACTCCGCTATCTATCTGTGTACCACTTTTAAATCGCAAGCGATTCTTTTACCCTTTACCAATCTCTGAACAATTAACTCTTATCTTTGCCACTGTTAGTTTTGACCCT